AATTGGACGGAGTAGTTACTTTATCTTTCGGTTTATTGTGCGATCTATTTTATTTACTAGTCAATTCCTCAAAATGCAATCAACTCGAGTACCAGTCTTTATCCCTATGATTCATTATATTTGACCAAAATTGCATTTAGAATACCTCACATTACTTAAGTAGTATGATTAACTAATCAAGATGGCTCATTTAATTGCGTATTCTATTCGATATCAGTCTCTTTTTGCTTACATTTCATACTTGATCTTATAGATTTCATCAGACTATGTCCATAGAGGAATCTCCACTTTGGATTTGATGTAAAGCCATATATTGTAAGAATCGGGTCTCAGTTTAAACATGGCTAGAATGTAGTCACATAATTTAATAAATTCTTTGCAATATCTTTTTTTATTATTCTTTTTTCCATGTCCATATTTCATCTCCTTTAAAATAGTCTTCATTTTAAATTTTTATTTTTTAAACTCTTTTTGCGCCACCACCATATCATACCTTGGTTGTTGTTATTTCCTACTTTTCCTCTCAATTCGCTGCCAGCTACCATTTATTGTAGCTTTTCACTCTAGTTATAGTACCAACTATTATTGATGGAACAAAGTGAGCAGAAAACCTTCAAGTTTTTCCTAAATACACAACGGATCCTTTACCCCGTAATTTTTTTGCAGCTTTTATTGGTTGTAGCCTCAGCAATGTATCTAATTGATAAGACCTCTAATGGCCACTTTACTGAGGCATGAATCATAGTTGAAAAATCACCGTTTTCTACACTACACCAATATTTAATACCCCATGAGAACTTCCTCATTTCTATGACTTGGCCTATTTTAGTTAGAAGCGAAAGCACAAAAATTTCTTCTTCAAGCATTTACGCACAGTTTATCTCCAGTTATTTATTACTCTAATGACCCATTTGTTCACCCTTAAGTTAATCTTCGTTAAACAATTATATGGCATTTTCGATAACCAAACTCCTTCTCTGTATACTATGAAGAACTTATGAATTAAGGCACATATCTTGGACCGTTTTTCTATCATGTCCGTCACATTGCTCGCTCCTACATTGCGTTTTATACCTTATACCAGTCCGGCGGGCGCGTTCATGTCAGCTGGCGCTTCTACGGAGATGGTAGTCCGCGACCCCGACGCCGATCCAATTCACCGCATCCCATTCCGCCTGTGGCCACCGTTGGAGCCAATGCTAATATTCAACATATGTCAGGCTTAAATTCTTCTTCCTCTTCTGCCCCCTTGGTTGCTATGAGTGGTAATACAATTGCTGCTTCTGACGGCCCAGCAACTGTAACGCCTGCAGCTGAGCTCTCGTCTACACAGGGAGTTCCACTGAATTGGGTATGTCTTGTATACTATGTACAATTTTTATGATCCATATGCAAGTCATTGTTTGCGCTGAGCTCCAAAAATCCCTTTATACAT